CTCGTGCCATTATTTTCTCTGTGCGTAGGAAAGGCTTCAAAAGGTGCAAGGAAAACATCTATTATATTTTAGTTTCATTTTTCCAAGAAAGTTTTGAAGCTACGTAATACTAATCTCAGTCCTGTAGGTAACACCCCTTTTACAGTCAGCTACCGACAGCCCTTTCACACACACAGAAAATAATAGCGTTGATTAATGAAACAGATGGGGACAATTACGTTTATTCTTTTTCTTTTTTTAATTACGTTTATTCTTAAGCTATGCTGAGAAAGCTAGATCCTGCAGCAGGTGACCAGAAGGCTTGCCTCAGTCGGCACCAGCGGGATTGACCACAAGCCCAGAACTGCAGATTTTTTCTCTGTGCAACCTGGGATTTGGCAAGTCCGTTGCATGCTGTGTAGACAGACTTACTCAGCAGCCAGTTTAGATGTGCACCTATCATGGCTCTTTGGGATAGTTCTCTTATGTGGGAAGTGCCTCTACATTCACCTCAATTTTGCTTGTAATAAAAAGTCATTTGGTGTAGAGTTTTTGAACCTTTTTTTTTTTTGTCAGTTGTCTGGTTTATTGAAGTAGTTCCAGAAAACCTTAGTAAACTATAAGGACAACAATTATTGCTAATTGAATGATCCTTAAAGATAGCCTGTTTTAGATCAATTAAGCCTGGACTTGTGTTTTATTTTTAAATGGTAGAAGTTGATACAATAAAATGTTCAAGGTTCAGAACTTAAAATTTTATAGTGGTGTCTTTGCTTATAGCTCTTTTAGCTTTACTAATTTATTTTTAATGCTGAGATGTAGGGAACAAACCGTAATTTATAAGCCCTAATTCTGCTGAAGAGCCTGGTAGTGCAGTGGTGTGTGTTGAGCTGCTAACTGCAAGGTCAGCAGTTTGAAACCACCAGCTGCTCTGCAGGAGACAGATGGGGCTTCTACTCCCCTAAAGAGTTCGAGTCTTAGGAACCTACAGGGGCAGCCCTACCACGTCGTCCCTTTGCGCTGTGACGAGTTGGCGTCGGCTCAGTGGCAGTGAGTTTGATTCTGAGTTTAAGTCCGTTGAGAAGTGTGACCTGCTGATAGTTGATCAATTAGAAGCCTATGTGACTTCAGTTTTAAAGCTAAGCGTTTTGTTAGTGTTAATAACTCTGTTACTGCACAATAAGGGTTATAAAACTATTCTGCAAACTTTAACCATGATTTTATCAAAACTGTATTAGAAAACTCCAATGAAAAATATTAACCACTTTGCTTTCTTTAAGTACATTAATAGAATTTACATGACATTAATAGAATTTACATGATGATTCCCACCACCTCCCAATTTCCATTCTTTTTGTACTATTTCAGAATTGCTGACCTTATTGGAAGATTTCACTTGTTTATTTAGTGTCATTTTAAGACATTCAATTAGAAACTTAAATCCTGCCCGGAATTTCCAACCCATGTGTGAATAGAACCCACTTACAGATGGGACAGGAGTTCATTTCTGATAGTGTTGGGTCGTCTTGCACCAAGCTTTAAGGTTAAGTTTCTGGTATCCATTTGAACCAGGAGCTGTGAATTTTTCTCAGGCTAGCAGTTAGCCCAAGTGACACTGTAGGTATTAGTTCCTAAACATTACTGCCCGTGGTCTGCCTCGGCCCCTTCATCCGTCTCTGCCTCTTCCTTGTTCCCTCTGGTTTGTAGATCATAACCTTCAACTTGTGGTTTTATTTTTATTATGGTAGCTTCAGTGTTTCTCCCTGTACTTCTTGTTTTCTTGGCAGCTTCTTTGTTCCAAGGAAGAACCATATTTTCTGTTTTTTCAAGGTCTGTTCAGAAACTCCATGCTCAGCTTCCTAAGTACCACCTCACCTGAAAGGTAGACCAGCGCACGCAGCACCGCTGTTTGATTCACTTCTCTCTCTCTCTCTCTCTCTCTCTCTCTCTCTCTCTCATCACAATAAAAGCTGTGACTCTTGGAGTTAGGTCTCGGGAAAGAGTTGGCATTTAGTGTCACTTCGGGACCTGACTTGAGAGTTAGACTCATCATTAAATTCTCAAGAGAATATATATATAATGCTTCTGAGGATAAATCCTCTTCAGATTGAGAGTTTGTACACACCAGCTCTTAAGAGGAAATGCCTAGCCACGTATTGATGAGGCTAGACCACCTGTCCAAAATTTAGTCTCTTTCTGCAAGCCAGTGGGACCCTCAGCTTTTCTCAGATGAACAGGCGGCGACAGGCCCTGCTTGGTGGAGAGTTTCAGTTAGATCGCATTCTTGACTGTTTCAAGTCACCCCAAACCAGAGCATAAAAGTAAACCCCAAAAAAGCAAGGGGGGGGGGGTTGTTTCTGCTGAAAATTACAACAGCTGGAAGCATACTGGAGAAGGGAGGACACATTGCTATTTTAAAAAATTCTATAAACGACTCCAAGATTTTAAGGCCCTTAAAGTTCATGATTTCCTTACAAGCAGTAGATAGCCTTTCACCTTAGTATTTATTCGAGTGGCTAACCACAGGTTTCACCTACCACTCGATAGTCCCTTTAGATAGAAGACATACAAAAATGTTGATTAACAATGTTAGATAAGGATGTGGGCTACTTTTCATCCCTTGTAAGTGACACTGCCCCGTCTCATGAGGTCTTTTATCTCTAGGGTTCTCAGGACTTGCTTCTCTGCCCCTTCCTTAGTTCTTTTATACGCTGCATGGCTTTTGTAGAACCTGAGTTCCCAAAGGGGAGCAAAAAGCAGATTTACCCGTGTAAGCACCTCCGCACATCTGCTTGTTTCCTGGGGGTACCTGCGAGGTGGACCAGCTTTTCTGGGAGTTGCACATCAAAAATCAGTTGCAGGGAAAACAGCATCTGTTTATTCAACATTTCCAGTGTTGTGAAACTGTCTCAGATTTAAACCTTTTTAAAAATAATAAAACCATGTACCGTGCGTGTTCGGAGCAGTGGAAATGGTGTCAGCTGTGGAGGGGATCTAGTGTATTCATTGTGAGGTTGACCACGCCCAGCTGCGCTTTCCCACTTGCCCCCACACCCCATTTGCTCCCCACGGAGAGGGGAGAGGGGCTTACAAAGCGGCCCAGTATCTGCTGAGCCAGCAGCACACAGGCCTATATATTTTCTTCTGCAAAATGATGAGGTTTTCAAACATTAATTGTGCAAAGAAAGGCACTAGAGCAGCGGTTCTCAACCTGTGGGTTGTACCCCCTTTGGGGGTCAAACGACCTTTCACAGGAGTTGCCTCAGACCATTGGAAAACACATATTTCCGATGGTCTTAGGAACGGAGACACCGCTCCTCTATCTGTCTCCAGGCAGGTCCACCCACATGCAGACACGCCCACATAAGAGTACCCAGAGTGAAGACTGTTACCCATGCTACACCATGCTTCAGGGCAAAATTTCATTTATTTGTCATTAGAAATAAATGTTTCACAATCTATAATTAAATATTGTTTTTATGATTAATCACTGTTTTAATTATGTTCAGTCTTAATGAAAATACATCCTGCATATCAGATATTTACATGACAATTCATAACAGTAGCAAAATGACAGTGATGAACTAGCAATGAACATAGTGTTATGGTTGGGGTCACCACACCATGAGGAGGGACTGTCTGAAAGGGTCGTGGCCCGAGGAAGGTTGAGAACCACTGCTCTAGAGGGTTTGTTCAGTTACAGTGACGCAGAGCCTGTTCTGGATTTCAGGCTGGGACCGTGGGCCGAGGGCTCTTCTGCTTCTTGGCGGAGTTTGTGCAGTGCAGACACCTATGAGGTCACGTGTGAAACGAGGGTGGGAAGGCTGGGCGGCACGAACGATCCAGCCACTCACGGGCAGGTTGGTGGCCTCCAAAGAAAGGCCTGCTGAGCTGCTTCTGGAAGGTCAGAGCTGGAAAACCCCAACAAGGGCCACCCTGGCAGGGCGTGGCTGTGAGTCAGAACAGACTTGATGGCCATGGTTTGAATTCGGTTCACAGGGCGGGGTGGGGGTGGAGGTCACCCCTGCCTTCATAAGCGTGCATCCCCTGGTGCACAGTGACGTCCTGAAGAGACGGGGATTTTTGAAGGTAAAATCAGGGAGCATTGCGGTCTTGGAATAAAAAGAGAGGTTTTGTGCACCTCCTTGTTTTTGGTAACTGCTGTTTAGTCCCTCCATAGTTCTGAAACCTTTGAGCCCAGTGACTCTCAATACCCCCCTTCCACCCAGCCTCGGCTACAGGCTTGGACATACAGCTCAACAGTCCCGAATTGCGAGCACTCACCAAGCACACCCGGCTGTGAGTGAGAACCCGGTTCTCTCGTGCCCAGCAGTGCGCCTCTGACTCAGTCCCTCAGGCTTTCCCTCCTCTCACAGATGAAAGTCTTCTTCTGTTGTTTTATAAAAGTCTCCTCTTGTAACTGCATGCGTCCACATAACCTTATCCTTTAATCGCATAGGTAAGAGCTTTTCCCTCCCTTGGTTTTTAGGGAAGGTGTAGGAGGTGTGATATGCGGTCTCATTATCGAAAGGTAATTAATTAATGGTACTGATTTTTGCCGAAGCATGCTTGCTAGCACATGGCGGAACTGCGTTCTAAATAGTTCACTAGTCTCCCCTGTGATGGTGACATCTCCCCTCTCGGCAGACATGATGCACTTCTTAGCAAGCTGCAGCCCAGCTAATAACAACTGACGGTGTGACATTTCTGGTTTTTAATTTATTAATTTTTGATGCCCGTGGTTTTAAAACTCGAAAGGTGGAAAAGTTGTTAAGTTTTCTTCCTTACCTCCGTCCCCAGCATCCCAGGCCCCTCCCCTGGAGAGACCACGTGTGTGTGCCTTCAGAAGGCACATCTCTGTGACTTGCTACCCCTGTCTGTGACTGCCCAGTGGTCCCTGGGCTTCTGTGGGCGGAACCGGCAGGAGCAGGTTCCGGGGTGTATGCTCGAGTGTATGAGCAGCAACGAGAACTGTCCCTCTTCCTCGCAGGCGCCTCACGTGTGTTTCTTTCGCTTCTCAGCTGCAGCATGAGAAAGCCGAGCTAGAGCAGCACCTGGAGCAGGAGCAGGAATTTCAGGTCAACAAACTGATGAAGAAAATTAAAAAACTGGAGAATGACACCATTTCGAAGCAGCTTACTTTAGAGCAGGTAAGCATTGCCAGCTCTCCCTAATCCACCACCCCCACCTCACTTTATTGACTTGTTCTTTCATATTTAAGATGCCCTGAGGCGTGTTAAAGGAGCATGATGCTTATGTACAGGGTTGCTAACCACAGGGTCAGCAGTTTGAAACCACTACCCGCTCCATGAGAGGAAAATGGGTCTCTCTACTCCTGTAAAGAGTCACTGGCTCAGAAACCCACGAGGGCAGTTTTACCCTGACCCATAGGGTCGCTGTGAGTTGGGAATGACTCCATGGAAGTGAGTTCGGTTAGGGTTTTGGTCGGAGGCCAACCCCTATTCCTAATAAAAACTCTCAATAAGGTAGGAATAGAAGGGACCCTGCTCCACCCAGTAAAGGCCACATCTAAACAACCAGTATCACACTCGGCGGGGAAGACCTGGAAACAAACTAGACATAGACGCCCTCATCAACAACACTCTTATTCAGCATGGTGCTGGAAGTCTTAGCCTGGACCATCGGGTCACAAAAAGAAAGGCGGGGAGTACAAGTGGGTAAGGAAGGGTGACGCGCTTGCTATTTGCAGTGGTAGGATTTTAGTGAGAGAGAGAACCCCAAGGACTTGACAAAAGATAGTTGGAAACAATTGAGGGATTTGGAAAAGTAGCAAGATACAAGATTAACAAGCAGAAATCAACAATCAGAAGATTCCTATATAAGAGCTCTGAAAAAACATTTATAGTAGCCACACAGAAATGCCCAGGGCATAAACCTAGCCAAAGAAACAAAAGACCTGTACAGAGCATTGTTCCAAGAATCCAAAAAAGATCCCCACACGCGGCAGACTACCCCATGCGCGTGAACAGGAAGATGTAATATTGGGGTGGGGTTGGACATATGCAAGGGAGGTATGGACAGGAAGATGTAATATTTGGGTTGGGGTTGGAGATATGTAAGGGAGGCCCGTTGTTCAGCTCTTTCTCAAGGTGGACACTTCATTGCTGAAGTGAGCATCGGCAACGCAGATCCTCACAGTGCTGCTCGCTCCCGTGCGCGGGCGCTCTCACTCTCTCTCTCAACAGTAATGGACAAAGTTCTAGGAGATGGGTCGTTATGTACTGATTTATCGCAGGAAACGTTAGGTTCCTTTTACCAAGCAAAGGGGGAAGGATATGTTTTTAACCACAGGATCGTTTCTGGGAACTGTGTTTCTGTGGAACTAACACTTTGAAGGACTCTTCAGAACAAACAGATTGATTTTTCCTTTTCGGACTTACAGTTGGCCCTCTGTAACAATGGATTCCGCATGCCACGTGTTCACCGGAAATGGGGATAATGAGAAGGTGGAGGGAACACTGAGTAGCCAAAGTGAAAAGTGCTGATTACATGGCATTTACACGGCACTAGGCATTCCAAGCAATCTAGAGGCGATGCAAAGAATATGGGAAGATGCGCGAGGTCATATGCAAATGCAGGCACATTTCGTTTTTCACTGGGCTTTGCAGACACTGCATTCCTCACAGGGGAAGGTTTGGAGAGGGGGCTTGCGTCCATAAAGACTGACAGCCGGGGCCCTCGGGGGCAGCTCTGCTCTGTCCTCTGCTCCGAACTGGCTTGGGGGCAGTGGGTGTGTTGAGCAAATCGATTGGTGCCATTTTTCCAACAGCAAGTCCACCCCATGCTTCTCTGTCGCATAGTGCTCGCAGCATCTCAGACTTTTTCAGAAGTCTGTTTGCACACTAAATGCTGTACTGTAATTTGTACCTGCAAACAATTTGTACCTGCATCACCAAAACCACACTCACTACCGTCGAGTTGATTCCAACTCGTAACAACCCTGTAGAATGGGGTAGAATTGCCCCTGTGGGCTCCCAAGGCCGTAACTCTATACTCGAGTAGAAAGCCTCGTTTTTCTCTAGAGAAGGTGCAGGTGGGTTTGCACTGCTGTCCTTGAGGTTAGCAGACCCAAGGTGTAACCCGCGACGCCACCAGTGCATTAGGAAACCAAAAAGTCATGCAACTCTCTTCACTGTGGTGGTCTCTTAGGTGTGCCTGTACTGTACCACGTTATGCGAGGCACTCGGGCATCTGGAGTTTGGTATCCACAGGGGCCCTGGAACCAGTCCCCTGAGGATACTGAGGGATGGCAGTATTAGCAACCTATGCTAATGCATAGGTTATATGCATTAATAATAAATAAATAATAAACCTATGCACTTGGCTGCTAGCCAAAAGGTCAGTGGTTTGAATCCCTCGTCCACTCTGTGGGAAGATGTGACTGCAATCTGACAGATTCCTGTTTGGAAACCCTGTGGGGCCATGCTATATTGTGCTGTACTATAGAGTCGCCATGAGTTTGAGTTAACTTGATGGCAAGAGATTTGTTATTACAGATCAGGAGTTGGAGACTTGGTTCCTCATTCTGAATTACCCGTTAATAAGATGTCTGACCTTTTGTTAACTTCTTTGACTTCTCTGGGCCTGAGTTCTCTATTTGCAAATAAAGCAGGTCAGATCAAGACCGGCAATGGCAAACTAGAACGCTATTATTCCCTTTCAGGCATTTCCTTGCCATGTGATGGTTGTGCAGTCCCTTAGCCAAGGGCCTTGACAGATGCTGATATTTGATCACAGTACTTGCCTTGGGTGGCCCGGCTAGACCTTATACCCATTACTCACACTTCACTTTGGGCACCAGTACCGGTCTACACAGTTGAGAAACAAAAGTGCATGCTATTCCTGGCCAATATGTTTCCTAACGTGTTTTTAGCCCCCTTCTAAAGTCCTAACACTTTAGTTACCCTAAGATCGGCTAATAAAAGATTGCTCACAGTGTACTGCTTACCTGGATTCTTATGTAAAATTCAATCTGCTGATTTATGTTTTCCAGCTTTTCTGGAATTTAGACTCTGGTTGTCATTATGATTTGAATAAGCCCTTCCTGCTAACATATTTGGTTTATCTCAACTTTTCCACCAGGACTGCCTCTTTGTCCAGGCTGACTGGCCCTGGCATCACCACTCGACTCTCTTTTCAACCTCTTACCTGAGAGTGGGATGGTGATAGACCTCTAGTGTTCTAAGATCAGGAACGCCGGCCTTTAAACAAATGTGTAGCGGGCGAAAAAAGGAAGTGGGGATTGTACCACTCTGCTGAATGTGATGGAACTATCGAATTGGATGATATATGAATTGTATGCCATTGAAACTGTTGGGGGGGAAAGAAGTTCACTTTTTAAAGATTAGCGCTTTTCTACATACTCTGAGAAATCTGTTCTAACCATTTGGAATCTGATGTGAAGGATGTCTACGTTTCAGAGACTCATCTCCCAAGTTTAGAAACATTTTATTCTGAAATTCTCCTATTTAATTACCAGGACAGTCAATCGCTCCTGTTCCGATCAAGTTAAAACTTGGAACATTCTTTGAGATGGTTGAACTATCTGGCACACCCAGAACTTGGTGTTGAAAGCCATGGGTCAATGAAATGGCCAAGCAGAGCTCTCAGTTGGTATTGTGAGAACTGCTCTTGGGCGTGGTTCCCCTGCAAGCAGATGAGGTCTTTCAGTGTTTTAGACCGCTTCTTTCTCTATTTCATTTGTTCCTGGCTCCCAGGAGACTGGAGACACTGACCCCTAGGGGTTTCTGTGTGGCCAGCAGGTGGAGCCAGTCGCTTAGTGTCTGAGAGAGAAGGGCCTGTTAATCCCAGGCACCGTCTTTATATGTGATCCTTTGGGGACGTCAATAACTGAACCTCTTTAAAACGAGATCCCAGCCTTGCCTTCCTTAGAACAAGTGACGACTTATTTCAGACGTCAGTATTAACGTGGATTTCCACAAGGGCACATGTGCATTGTAAAGCCCTATTCTCGATATAAAAACCGCCTATCCAGAGTACCCAATCCATAGTTTAATAAAAATGGAGGAATTCAACCTTTTTGTAAAGCATTCCCCTTTTTACTTTGGGTTATTAAGTTTTGAGCATTTTTATTCTGCCTTTGGTTTAGCTCCAAATAATTTGTGTGTGTGTGTGTGTTGAAGGGAATTTGTTTTTTCTTGTTGAAATAAATATCTTCTGTGTTTCTTGCAGTGTGATCTGGCTCTCTTGGGATTATTTCCTGTAGTCTGTCACAGTGTAGTACGGGAGCCCTGAGTGGCACCGACAGTTACGTGCTTGACTGTGGACCGGACCGTAGGTAGTAGGAGCTGTGGTCTGAAAGCTGTCTGGAGCACATGGGGTGGTCATGAGGCAGACTCTGCAGCCAGCAACAATAGCAGCAGCTGAAGGGACCCTGTCCCATTAAGCATCATAGTGACTGATAGACCTTTGTTCTTCGATCTTACCATAAACTCTTCAGCCCTGTAAGTTATGCGAAAAGTTCTCTGGTGTAGTGGTTAGGCATTGGGCTGCTAACCACAAGGTCAGCAGTTCGAAACTACCAGCCCCTCCTCAGGAGAAAGATGAGAGTTTCTACTCCTGTAAAGAGTTATAGCCTTGGAAAACCATGGGGGCAGTTCTGCCCTGCCCTATAGAGTGGCTAAGGGATGGAAGTGACTTGATGGCTTCGCGACGTTGAGGACAATCACTGTGTATGTTTTGTGCCCCATATATACTACTCCGTCCAAATGCACTATGGCTTAGCAGCCATTAGTGTTTTAGAAGGCAGCAACACACCACAATGCTCAGGGCCTGGACGCGAGCGCCTAAAGAAACAGCCATGACTGGTTTCCTCGACTTCATCTCTTAGCCACTCCCCTTTTTGTTCTCTTTGTTATTTGGTAACAATTGACAGGGCAGAATGCTCTGGTGAGAGGGGAACAGCGTGGCCACCACAGAGGTCCCTGGGAGCTGGGGACCTAGCGGAGACAACACGAAGCTCTCAGCACCTGTGGCACCAAGATCAGGCCAGAAAGACACGTATTGGCTGGACGCATCTAAGTCCAGCGTGCTGCAGGGAAGCAGCGGTGGGAGAGGAGATAGCAGCAGACAGCGGGTGCTGCTTGCTTGCTGAGACCAGAGAGCAGAG